GTGTGTGTGTGTGTGTGTGTGTGTGTGTGTGTGAGTGAGTGAGTGAGTGAGTGAGTGAGTGAGTGAGTGTTTGTGTGTGTGTGTGTGTGTGAGAGTGGAGTGTGTGGAGTGTGTGTGTGTGTGTGAGTGGAGTGTGTACGTGTTTGTGTGTGTGCGTGTTTGTGTGTGTGCGTGTGTTTTTGATTTAATCAAAAAATTTAATCAAGCTTTAGAGCTTTGAACCAGTGACAAAACTTATCTATCTATCTATCTATCTATCTATCTATCTATCCATCTATCTATCTATCCTTTAAGAATTACATGTCAGTATATAATAGTACTGTATTTCTGTCATAAGTTCTTCAAGTTAAACCGAAGTTTTATTTTGGTGGTTTGTGGTGAAGATCTTTGAGTTTCAGTGCGTTTGACAGGACTTTTCCTCAAAATGAAGTGACTCTCAGAGCATCTCTGGAGATGAAGTTCACGTGTTCACGTCCTCATATCTTGAGTCGAGCGTCACGCGTGTTCGACAGCGAGTCCTACCTGTCGTAAGTCCAGAGTGATGGTGACCCAGTGGAACTGACGGCCGTTCTTGATGCTCGGGCTCTGCCACCACTGGTTGGTGCCGTCGATGGCACTAGTAATGGGATGTTGCTCTGTTTGAACAAACATAAAATGATCTACTGATTAGATAACATGACTAAACAGACACTGATTCAAAAGATAAATCAGTAACACTTTACAATAAGATTTCATTAGTTAACATGACTTCTAAAGTATGACTTCTTAATGTTAATTTCAACATCTACTAATACATTATTAAAATCGATAGCTGCATCTGTTAATATTATTTAATATATCTGACCTAACAGTGCTGATTTTTATTAGCTAATGTTAACTAAAATTAATAAACACTGGAACAAATATATATTGCTCATTGTTAGTTAATGCAGTTAACTATTAGTAAGTGTTATTGATTTTTTTTCAACTAAAACCATATTCTATCTGATCAGCAATTTCGGATTAATGAGTGAATGTGAAAAAATTCGAATTTTTATTAATGAAAAAACTTTTTAAATTTAAAATGACACACAAAGTCCAAAAATTATGATTTATTTCTAACAAAACGTAAATATTACTCTAAAAAGTCTTAAAACGAAATAAATTCATTTTACTTGCACTTTCAGATGAAAAAAGCGATACATTTTTCATGCTGCAGTGGTGTCAGACGCACACGTTCATGTTTATTATAAGTCAGCAGTTGTGTTATGTTTCACATATGTTCTCCTCTCAAGTTTCCTGTTGTCCACAAGTCCAAATAAGGTTTTGCAAGCCCCCCTAAAACCTACAAAGAAACTCTAAAACAGCATCTTTCTTTTTTCAGTTGATTCAGTGCCATCAAATCTTAGCTTCTCTCCCACTGTGCTGACTTATCTATTCTGAGTTTTGAACCTAGAGTTCAGAGACGGCTTAATAGAAAGTCCTGGAGCTGCATGGCATACAAAGAGTAGGAATAGAAGCAAGAAACCACACACAAGCTCTTAACCGCCGTCTCCTAACACCCCAGCTGCACGATGATGACAGTCTTTGCTCAGAGGAATTCCCCATGTTCCTGACAAGTGTAATTTTTGTGGGGAATGCTGCTCACTAAATTGATATTCACACCATGTTGTCATTAAGAGTTTCTGCATTATATGTTTTGAAAGGTCTGGGAGGAAAAAAAAATGTTTGTTGCAACTGATTAGAAAAGCTATTTGAGATCAATAAAGTAACTGCTTGTAATCTTTTACTTTACTCATTGAGATGCTGGTCGGCATTGCCAGGAATGGAGACTTGACCCACCATTTTAGCAGTCCCCTCCCCCTGTCCCCTTTCCTTTACTATTCCTCCCCTTTAAATTCTTGATGGCAAAGAACAGCGTTCCCACACTTTCCGACCAATGAATTTCCTTGACTTTTTCAATTGCTGAATGCTTTATACCAATTTAATACTGATTAATAAATATTTCAGATAAAGAAAAAAAAAATCACAATGACTATAGAAATTTCCATTAACATTTAAGAAGCTTTTTCAGTCATTTGTGATGACTGAATTATTTTGTTTTATATTTTAAAATCATGTTCACAAACAGTAATTTTTAGCTGAAGATATGTACCCAATGTACCCATAGAAATATACCATCTATCTATCTATCTATCTATCTATCTATCTATCTATCTATCTATCTATCTATCTATCTATCCTTTAAGAATTACATGTCAGTATATAATAGTACTGTATTTCTGTCATAAGTTCTTCAAGTTAAACCGAAGTTTTATTTTGGTGGTTTGTGGTGAAGATCTTTGAGTTTCAGTGCGTTTGACAGGACTTTTCCTCAAAATGAAGTGACTCTCAGAGCATCTCTGGAGATGAAGTTCACGTGTTCACGTCCTCATATCTTGAGTCGAGCGTCACGCGTGTTCGACAGCGAGTCCTACCTGTCGTAAGTCCAGAGTGATGGTGACCCAGTGGAACTGACGGCCGTTCTTGATGCTCGGGCTCTGCCACCACTGGTTGGTGCCGTCGATGGCACTAGTAATGGGATGTTGCTCTGTTTGAACAAACATAAAATGATCTACTGATTAGATAACATGACTAAACAGACACTGATTCAAAAGATAAATCAGTAACACTTTACAATAAGATTTCATTAGTTAACATGACTTCTAAAGTATGACTTCTTAATGTTAATTTCAACATCTACTAATACATTATTAAAATCGATAGCTGCATCTGTTAATATTATTTAATATATCTGACCTAACAGTGCTGATTTTTATTAGCTAATGTTAACTAAAATTAATAAACACTGGAACAAATATATATTGCTCATTGTTAGTTAATGCAGTTAACTATTAGTAAGTGTTATTGATTTTTTTTCAACTAAAACCATATTCTATCTGATCAGCAATTTCGGATTAATGAGTGAATGTGAAAAAATTCGAATTTTTATTAATGAAAAAACTTTTTAAATTTAAAATGACACACAAAGTCCAAAAATTATGATTTATTTCTAACAAAACGTAAATATTACTCTAAAAAGTCTTAAAACGAAATAAATTCATTTTACTTGCACTTTCAGATGAAAAAAGCGATACATTTTTCATGCTGCAGTGGTGTCAGACGCACACGTTCATGTTTATAAACAAAATTCAGTACAAAAGTGAGTGAGAGATGGGGGAAAAAAGAAGAAATATTTTTTACAAATGTTTTTGACACTCATATAACTCCACAGATAATTTTACAAAAAGTATTTTTGAAACTAATGACCCTCCATACATACCCAGGTCAAAAAAATGACTCAAACAAATGTCTTTTACATCTCTTAAATAAATAAGTGTAAACAATCTGAAAAAAAATTATGATGTGTATTTTGAGGGACTTTAAGCATTTGTTTCGTTTCCTTACTGAAACCCATGACTTATTTTAGAGATTTGTATGCATCTCTTCCAGGTCAGAACGGACCTGAATGCATCATGAGGATTAAAGCCGAACTGAGTCTCGTTACCTTTGGGATTCTGGCTGTTTGCATCACAGATCCGACACTGAGGGTTACGGATTCGTCTTCCAGGAACGTGTTCCACCAGTTTACAGAACATCTCGGGAAGTGGGTCGCCACAGGTGGCGTTCGTGGTGATTTCAGCATTGCTGGCCAGGTTCAGGATAGCGGGAAACAGACCTGGAATGCCAAACGAAGAAGTGTTTAACAAAAGCTAAATCACTGCATTGAAGAGGCTGCATTTTCTCTTTCTTTCTTTGAAGAGAGACCCTCACCCACCCATCCATCCATTCACGACACAAATCACTACGTCTTGGACAACTGACCAAAGCTGGCCTTTGGTGTGAGGAGATAAGCATCATTACGGAGAGCAAAAAACTCAATGAGAGGGAACCGTGAAGATGAAGAAGATCTTCTGCCCTCCAGCAGGTCATGAGGTCAAAGTGAGCTTTAGAGCTCCGAACCACAACACATGTGACCCTGGAGCACAAAAGCAGTCTTAAGTCGCTGGGGTATATTTGTAGCAATAGCCAACAATACATTGTATGGGTCAAAATTATACATTTTTCTTTTATGCCAAAAATCATTAGGATATTAAGTAAAGATCATGTTCCATGAAGATATTCTGTATGTTTCCTACCGTAAATATATCAAAACTTAATATTTGATTAGTAATATGCATTGCTAAGAACTTCATTTGAACAACTTTAAAGATGATTTTCTCAATATTTAGATTTTTTTGCACCCTCAGATTCCAGATTTTCAAATAGTTGTATCTCAGCCAAATATTGTCTTATATGTTATCGTAGTTGACCAAATCTAAAACTAAAACCATAAAATATATTTTTGTTACTTTCATTTTTTTTTCAGCTAGTTGCCAAAGCAGCACTTCTCATTTTCATTTAAGTTGAAGTACTAAAATAACTAAAATTAATAAATAAAAATAAACCTACTGTATATAGACTTTTTTTTTTTA